GACGTATAGCGGATGAAGTGTCAGTTCACATTCAGGAGGATCGATTGGCATTTGACAAATTGAGACATCTGTGGCGCCGTCGCGACATCCGTGAACGGTCGACTGTACACTGCAGCAGTTTGACCAGTTCCGCTGTACAGAGCAGAAGGTCAATGAGAAAACAAGACAAAGATAGACCGTCGGTGTTTGAACACCGCTGTCTGCGTCGCACTGCGCGAACCTGATGGAGAGAACGGACGAGCAATGTTGAGGTTAGGTCCCGAGTTTTAAGTAAGCCCAGTCGTTCACTGAAGCAAGTGGTCGACTTCCATAGATTTCGTTGTTCGGGACATATATTGCGCACGTTACCAAATAGATTTCCACGACGCGTGATGTGAAAAAAGTCAAAGGTGGTCACCATATGACCTGGATGCGAGATATGAAAACCATTAGACAGGATACTAGGCCACATAGGTCGCGATAGACTTCCTGGATGCGGACATCGAGACCATGCGAACCGGTGGAATCAATGATCAGAGACATTGAATATTTGAGTTCAGTGATATTTTCCAGTGNTGTCGTGAGCATTTGCCCTTGTGCGTATCAATTTCTTAGCATTTTTAGTCTACTGGATTTCTCCATTTTTTCGTTGACTCCACCCTCAACATTCCCGTCTTTCAAATGTTTCATCCACATAGGTAGCCTAAAGACAACAAGGCTTTTGGTGGTACAAACAATAGTTGGAATAGGATAAACAAACCCCGCGGTGTTCGTTTGACGGTGCGATATGCTACATGCTGGAATACTACCATATTGTGGGACGGAATTATTATTATCATTTTACGCTAAATAACTATTTAAAGTAAGTTTACTTTCGGAATAAAAATAATGCTGCGCGTAAACAGCAAGAGGGTAGATGGGATTATAGTTTTAAGCGATTTGGGGGTAGTTTTGATGGAACCCGGAAGTAAAAGTGAAGCGTGGTGAATTACACCAGACAGCAAAATTAAGCACTATAACGGATAATAACGGAACTGCAAGACATCCGGAATACTGTATTCATCGAAACGCATGCACGTACACCGAGGATTCAACAATCACTTGCCTTGGACGATCGAGTCGTGATAGGACGTTTCCATAGGACGGCCACAGAGATAAAAATTCTTGAATTCTCTCCCTAGGACAAATAAATAAGTTATAAATTAAACACACCTGTAATTGTCATACACTTGGCTGAATCCATCGTATTTTGCCAATCGTCGCACAAAAGCCACTTGACACTCATACCCCGCATAATCCAATTGAACTTTTCGACCCACACGACTTCGCGTCTCATTTAGTGCTCGCTGAGCGGTTTCAACGGTGTCAAAATACAATAGAGCTCTAAGAGACTTTCGATCTAATACAACGTGGGTCAGGTGGCCATATCGGTTGAATTGACGAGCGAGGAATGATTCGTTCACGTTCGGTGCCAGGTTGTCTAGCCAAACAACATTTGTCGGCTGACTCTTTCCAAAACCCAGTTTGACCGGTTTGCCATTAACGCGGATTGTTTCCTGCTCTGAGAGAGCGCGTACTACGCTTTTAATATCACTGAACTGTACGAAGGCGTAAGAAGTGCCTGGTTGATTTGCTTGGATTTTTATGTCAATTTCCTAAAATACCAATTACAAAACCGAAATAAGCCTTACTATTATCTCCCCGAAAACCATGAACGTTCGACGCAACTCTTCTTGGGTAATAGTACTGGAGCATAAGTTACCGACAAAAAGAGTCTTTGTTGCTTTGGGATGATACTCATCAAGAGCATGTTCGGGAGGGCACAAATCAGGATCTTCAGAATCTGGCAGCGCGTTATATAATCAAAATGAACATACCAATTCCCTCGTGTAGTGAAACTGAGATTGGAGTACCGAAAAAAACCTTTCCACGGGACACCTCAAACGCACGTTCAGCATCTTCCGCCCGCTTGAATGTAACTATGCCGTATCGCCCTTCGCCTTGACCACGTATAACTACAGACGTAATCTTTCCATGCTTTTTATACTCATGAAATAATCCCTCGCGAAGATTAGTATCCGATGAGCGAAGAGGAAGATGACGGATTTGAAGTCCCCGGTGTTCTGCATCATACTGCCCAGTGGACGATGTAGATAGCACGCTCATTCCGGATCCGTTGAGATTGGGACGGGGGGAAGTAGAGCGACGAAAACTATTGAAACTTTAAGGTCGAAAAAAAATTCAAACCTTGGCTTTGTTTTTTTCCGTCGTTCTTCAGTTGACGAACCTGAATCACTCACACCACTGACAGATCGGTTGTCAGAAGGTAGCTGTGGCTCATCATTTTGTATCACACTGCCGAAATAATTCAACTTGTAAACGGTTTTTACCTGGAGACGGTGAGAGAATTATCAGCCGAAGCAATTATAGAATCCTGTGTGTTATTTCCTGGCACACCAGACGATTCACAATATTGAAGTGACAGCTTTGTTTTGTTCAAACGCACAGTGCTCTCGATAGCTCGTGTGGCTGACTTAGTATCCACAAAAGCAACCACTGCAGTGTAGGCAGTTTCACCCGAATGGATGCGTATGCTTTGTATTTTCCCGTGACTGAAAGAGAAACAAGGTAAACGCTTGATCGCGGTACATATCCAATCGCCGACCACACAAGCAATCACAACAATAAATAACTCCAAAACAGAATCAATGGTATAACAACGGCGCAATAAGAAATTTGAAAATATTCCGAGTGGATAGTGTTGGGAATATGTACCTTTGTAGAACGTCGCGGATATCCTGCTCAGAGGTACGCACAGGTAAATTACTGATCCACAAGTATCGCGTTGCACGCATTGTCGTTCTAAGACAAATATCCGCAAGTATTCTGCATATCGCGCCAGATTTTTAACAGCGACGACAGACAACCAGAGACGTCGCGCATACGAGACGGAATGGAATCAAATGGTCGTGCATGGTCGGCCCTGGTTCACGTCGAAGTGCGACGTGAGGCAAAAGCCGATAGGCGGAGAAAAAAATCGATATTTTTCGAGAGGGGTATCAGCTTGGCTAATTATGCCACTAATTCAGCGTACACGATAAATCTTCCGTGCCAAAATGAATTAAAATAATTTTTTAGTAGTAAATTATTCATTAAACTATTTTTTCCTTGTATCTTTTTCATTTTATTTATCATTTCATATTATCGACCGGTTCTGTGATCGATCTGCGCGGGTTGCCACCATTGGTTACTCTGGCAGTCAGCAAACCATCGGCGTGCGCGCTTAGGGCAGATAGTCAGTTGCTCTGATGTCCCCGCGACCGTTGGCGGTGTTTCATTCTGCGTTATCATTGTGAGCGCAAATGTACAGGCTGTTGCTACTGGACCTATGGATCACTTTCAGGCATAACGTCTACTGGTAGTCAATCCACAGAAAATGCTTCCCTAATCTTTCCGTGACCGAGACTTCAGTCAACCACGAAAATTTAGATCATGGGTTATCGATGTTGAATTTCGGATTTATTTTGAATGCACTCGTCTGTGTCTTCTTATTCATACGCCCAGTCACTCTTTGACTTGGATTGTACGCGGCAGCTCATGCGGAAATTAATATGGTTTACCACACCCAACGATCAGGATGTAAATGCCCAATAACCATAGATCAGAATTCGCCGTAAATAAAAACCAATTAGTTTTGTGCTAAATTGTAACGCGGGAGAATCATAACATCATGAGTTCACTCTGTAAATGGAGTGGAAATTTATTTCTCTGAACGGGGATTATGTAAACGGATAAAGCCACGTCTTCCGGATTTATCTACATGGTGACCGGTGATTTCTTATCAGTGATCGTTTGCTGTCTTTTCCTTTTTGATACTTATGGTGAATAATCATCAAAGGATGCTCGCCCGTTTACTCGGTATCCAGCGAAAACAGTTGTTAGTCATGTACGTTACCCGGTTTTATTGAACACTCGGATATTCCAGTAAAGCCCTGCGTCTGACCCGTCGCCACCTCCATAGTTCAGTATGTCCACGGGGATGATTTTTGCATCTGCTGCAATTTTAAATAACCAAAAGCACGGAATCCGCTTAGTCCGACTGCTTGCTCGAAAGGCTGGATGTCCAGTCCAGTCATCACAGGGCGATTAATGGCCTTTGCCAATCGAGCGTCCAGATAATTGTGCTGTCGGCGGGTGTTCTTGGCTCCCAGCACTGCGTTATCTGAGTTTCTTTTATCGGGTTTTCTCAGTCGAGTTGAAAAAGATGAATCAGAAGAATTGTCGTCTCCCCTCATCGGTGAAGGACCTTCGTTTTCGGAAATATATCGGTCTCAAGTACATGTGTTACGCATGTCACCAAAAAGGGTTGTCATGGCGCGCAATGCTTGCTGAGACCGGTAGTGTTTGGAAAAACAGTCAAGGGTGGTCAAGGTCACACCTGGCACAAGGGTGTGAAATCCCTAACCAGGTGACAGGGTCACATAGGTCCCATTAGGCTCCCTAGTTGGGGATCTCGGGATGATCGTAACCGAAGGTTAGAGACAATAAAATGGCTAAGTGTCACAAACAGTGGCCTTCATGTATCTTCTCCATTTCTTCGCAACATTAGTCCAATGAAATTCTCCATTTTCTATTCGGCTCTACTTTCGAATTTCCTGTCTATCTCCTGCTGTTCATCCAAATGGTTGTTCAAACCGAAACTGAAACTTCAAATAAATATGCCCCTGGGCACCAAGGCTTTGGTGTCCCTAGTGGACGTCATTTGAAAGGCCCGATTTCATAGTTTGGGACGGCAGTTTACCAGTTTTCCGCTACCACCCATCCCGAAAAAGCCTTGTCGAGGTGCTTGCATAAAGTCTGTTTTGATGCAGCACAAGCAGTAGTCAGATGTTCGGGAAATCAAAAGGACCGTAACCAACCGGTAGTTTTTGGTTGCCGCATTTTTCTGTTACTAACATTTTAAGCATTAAGTCGTGCGGTTTTCGCTTTCAGCTTTAAACTGAAGTAAATAAACTGAGCAAGACATATACCAAGGAAGTTCGCTACATGATAATGATCATGAACTAAGAAGTGTTTTTTCATTAGTAGCTTTATGCACCCGGATGGGTGAATTTTCAGCATTTTACGCCATATTTGTGGATTCAAATTTACAGAATCATTCCATAATGAAACTGAAAGCAGTAGATTGTTTGTCAAGAAGCAAGCATTTGCGCAATTCTGTGGATATTTTCTTGTCAATAAGTAGACGTGCTAGATAGAACAGAGTTACAACAAGTAGAGGTACGTGCAAATAAAAGTTTAAATCTTGAGCCTGTGAATGATGTAGATACAACTTTTGAGAATTCGTTGTGTAATGGGTGGTGTGTCTAAGAGTATTTGGGCAATGAAACTTTCGCATGCTTGTAAGTGTCTGTCTATGATAGAATCCGCGAGTTTATCCCTGACAACGCCACTACATTTCGAGATGCGTTTCAGAGATCTCACCGGTAAATAAAAGTCTCTTCAACATACCGGGGAAAATCACTGGGGAGCAATACAACCAGTGGGGTAGCACGCATACATTCACAAACCTAACAATCAGCTTATGGGGAACAGAAAGTAATCTCAGTCGGAGTGAGAAATATGAAAGCTTTCTAACTTTACAGAACGTGTTTTAAACATACTGTGACCATGATAAATTGTGTGATAAGGTGAAGCCTAGGTATTTTACTACTGTTGATTTCGGAACGGGTTGTTGATTAGCAGAGAGGGTGGGGAACCAATCTGTGAGGGCCGGATATGGTACATCGACCAAGAGGGAAAACAACATCCTGACATCTAGATGTGTTCAATGAAAGGGAACGGGATAAGAACCAAGTGACAACGTCGTTCAGCTTGCTTTGAATTTCTGAATCCTCTTCAGGGGTCCATGCTTTGCAACCTATAACAGTGTCATCAGCGTATTTACAGCCAATGAATGCATGAGGAATGGGAACTTGTTTGATATACATTGAAAAGAAAAATAGGGAAAATATTGCACCTTGCAGAACACCAAAAGAAACTAGTTGTTCTCTCGATTGTCTGTTCTACTTGTCGGTCCGGAAGAGATTCAGTTGAACTGTTGGTCATCACCATAGTGCTCAACCAGGCAGTGGCTTAGTCGGTGTCACCGGCATGCTTCGGACCATATGGTCCGAGGTTCGAGTGCCACGACTACCAGCGAACTTTGGTGCTAGGTTGCTTTGTTGTGCGGTTCAATACCACGCCTAACCTAACAGGGCCTTATGTTGTCGCCACTCCAAGTCCCGGGGCTTAGGTTACCCGTTCACATCTCTGAACAGCAGCTCCTGGTGACTATATGGTTAACCCCATCTACTGTTCATCACACTAGGGTGTGTAATAAAAAAGGCCCGCTGGTTTCTACGAGTAAAATACTCCCACACCGTCCTCAGCCGGTTCTAAATTTTCGCCAGGAATATCAAGGAATAATTACGTATATCGGTAACTACTTATTTGAGCGTTGACCGTTCCTCTACTGATACCTCCGGTAAAGCCACTTCTGCACTCACGGGAATCTTATAGTGGTGTGGTTCACGATTCTTTCATTTGCACTGAAAATATTAGGTGGATTTTCTTAAGGGATAATGCAACAAAACCCCCATTTGGCAGTTCTAACCCGTAACTTGCAGAAATGGGGGAATGCTACATCAAAAAAATTCTGAGCATCCGTACAGTGGAGTACGGTGAAGCGAACTCCACTGATCTCTGTCAAAATCCCATCAGACCCATCCATGGAGCAGATGCGAACTGAACCTGTGATGAGGGAAGGTGGTCAACACAGAGTATATAGCCTAACTGAGCATACACACTTCTGTCATTTTTCCCAGGCATTTTATTTACAAGATATTGCGTTTCGTAGGCTTCGGAGTCTGCTTGAACCCGTCGCATTATTGCTACCTCGCGGATTCAATTTAGTCATAGACTGATGTCGCTACGTTTGTGTCGTCTTGCGCATTGATATCCTAATGAGAGGTTCTTGATCGTTGCTCAAGACCTATTTACTAAGATTTTTGATGCTTGAACAAGGCATCCCGCAAATATGACAGTTACCACTTTTACAGGTTGACGTCACTTCAGCCAGTGATGGCACGGACGTCTTCGTACTGTTCACAAACTGACTTGGCCGA